GTGGATCCAGTCACTCTTAATTTCTTTAATTTGAATCATTGTAGAAACTGAGCCATTCTTACATTATTTTCATTTTCTTTTTTGGTTTTATTTTTGAGAATATTAACATAAATGTGGTTTAATTTCCCCAGTAGTCTATCACCTCCTTGGTGACTGAAAAAAATCACATGTTTAAGAGTACTAATATTTTTTCATTTTTGTAAATGATCTTAAAATTGTGTTTATTAATATCTTCTTCCCATTTTTCTGCCACTCTACCGTATAATCTCTGTGAAAGCAAAAGTTGGACAGCACATAAAATGGACTATTTTTTTATATTTATTAATGTGGTGGTTTACTGGGGTCAAACTTTGGTGAACCTCGGTATACTTAGTCAGGCTAGTCCTTGGCAGATGCATTTTGTTACTGGAAGCTTTTCTAATTTAGTAGAACCTGCAGACCTGGATGCAGCTGATATATGCTGCAAGATCCTGCAGTCAGACTTCTGTCGTCTGATCAGTCCTCTGAAGGACAAGCACTGTTACCTTTATTTCATAAGTGAAGGAAACAATACTCAGCAGGGACACAGTGACTTTCCCAAAATGACACAGCTAGTTAGAGTTCAGCTAATTGGGTTCCAAATCTAATCCTCTTTCACCTCCACATTACCTTCTTATATAGTTATAGTAATACAATAGTCTAGCTATTACTGTTCATCACATAGAGTTTTGTTGGCTGGCCTTAAATTTAACCAATTTTACTATTGGTAACATTGTTCCTACAAGGCCAAGTCCCCTCAGGACAGAACTTGATCCAAAATTGGAGGTTATCCAAATAAAGCTTTTTACATGTTCCTTAGTCATGTATGTTACAGTTTCCAAGATTTGGGTTATCTTGCAATAATAAAAATTTGTATGTTGGTTTTTTTGTTGTTGTTGGCTTTTTTTTGTGTGTGTGTGTGTGTGTGTGAGGCAATTGAGGTTAAATGACTTGCCTAGAGTCACACATCTAGTAAGTGTTATGTGTCTGAGGCCAGATTTGAACTCAGGTCCTTCTGACTCCAGGGCCAGTGCTCTAGCTACCTAGTTACCCCCTGTATCAATAATTTCTTTATGTGATTTTAGTAATCTCCTTTGATCCTTATCTGTAGCAGTTTAAAAATTTATATCTTGAAAGTTGATTACTTTGGGTAGGTTTCTGTAAATAATTCTTTTTTTGTTTTTGTTTTTGTTTTGTTTTGTTTTGTTTTTTGGTGACGCAATTGGGGTTAAGTGACTTGCCCAGAGTCACACAGCTGGTGAGTGTTATGTGTCTGAGGCTAGATTTGAACTCAGGTCCTCCTGACTCCAGGGCTGGTGCTGTATCCACTGCATCACCTCGCTGCCTCCTAGATAATTTATTCCTTACTGAGTAAATGATGCTTCCTGACCTGAGATGATAAATCATTTAATGCTTTTTTATTTGCCCTGAGCTAAGCACTGAGGATACAAATGCTAGAAAGCAAAGACTCTGCCTGCTTTGGAGGAGCTTAACAATGTTAATCTCTGGAAGGGGTGGAGAGAACAACACAATAAGAGAGCTGAGAAGAATAGGAGAGTATGAAAGGGGTTGGAAATGATTACTAAGAAGTTGATGGAGACTTCCTTCTGGGTAAGATAAAGTGAACTATAATATCATTAATGATTATTGATTGGAAAATTTAAATAAAATGAGAAAGCTTTTATTTTAAGTGCTTACTGTGTACTAGGCGCTGGGTTAAGCACTGAGGATACAAATACAGAAAGCAAGATGGCCCCTGGTCCTGAGGAATTTACATTCTAAAAGGAGGAGACAACACATAAGGGACCTGTGGCCTGGGAGAAATGTTTTGTTAAGGGAAGTCTGAGGGGTTAAAAATGGAGCCATTGAGCAATTAATTGACACATCATCTACCCCTTTCTTCCAATGACAGTATTGATTTCATTACTATTCCCAGAGCATGAGGTAGAAAGCAGGAGTTGGAAGTGGCATTGTTAGCATGACATGAAGATGGCCTAGTATTAGTTTTGTGGTGGATCTGGGTTGGGCTATAAATGATGGAAGACTCTAATTACAGTCTTATCTTGGCTCTTGCTGCTGACTCCTCCCTCATAGGAGTTGTTTAAATGCTTTCTTTACTTCCCTTGCCCTCTAATTATGCTCTCATTCCCTCATCATAGCAGAAGACCTGGCACTCTACTTCACCCAAAGGGTTGAGGTTGTGCAACATGAACGCCTTTCAGTTCCCTCCCTTTGTTTCTCAAAATTTCTCAACTTCATATCCCATTTCTTTTCCTTTCCTTAGGTCACCAAAAGATCCTTTGATTCTCTGCTAAGATTAATTTTCCTACGTGCCTTCTTGATCTTTTCTTTTTCATCTCTTATGGACTTTGTTATAGCAATCCCTTCTTATGTATCTTCAATATTTTCCTCTCCACTGATTGCTTCTGAACTTCTTTGTTTCCTAATTCTTAAGGGTGGGGGGGAAAGGTGTGGAAATCTTCTTTGACTTTTTTATCCTATTCAGGTACTTACCTGTCTCTCTGCCCGTCACTGCTAAACTTATTGGGTGGTGTTGTTTAAATTAATATCCAACTTCTCTTCAGCCTCACTGTGCTACTGAAACTATTTTTCCATCTCTCATCAATGACTGAATCCAAAGGTCTTTATAAGATTCTCATTTTTCTTCACCTTTCTATAGACTTTAATGGTATTAACTCTCCTATGTGATAAAATATTTTGTTTCTATTTGACTTTATAGATAGCACTGTCCTTTGGTTGTTCTGCTACTGTAGTTGTTCCTTTTCTAGCCCCTCTGTTGGCTTCACATCTTCCTTACTCTTGAATATGGGTTTTTCTTAAGGGCTTGTCCTTGACCATCTTGGGTTTATAATCTCCCCTCACAATTTTATTTACCTTTATACAGATGACTCTCAAATACCCTATTTTTACTTCTTTCTGAGCTTTAGACACATGTTACCAAAAACATACAGGAAGTTGATCTAAATTTCTGATCAGCCCCTAAAATTCAAAATGCAGCACTTGGCATATCCTTTTACTTCAAATCTGTTGCTTGTCTATAGTATCACAATATATCACATCTCTTGTGTTCCACATTTTGAGATTATGTTCCTTTTCACATTCCATTATTTGTTAAATACAGGTATTGCTAACTCCACAATATCTCCCTTTTGAATTACCTTTTCTCTTCCCACTTCTAATACAGAATGAAAGAACTTATTTTCTCCATATGGACTCTTGAAACAGCTTCCTAGCTTTCACATTCTCTTTCCTTTTGCAAGCCATCCTTTTTATGGCTACCAGAACAATTTTTCTCACACATATATCTAGCCATTTCTCATTGAATAAAATTCAAAACCCTTCAAGTGGCACTCAATACCTTCCCAAGGGACACTCGAGACCTTTCATACTCTGATACTATTATATATTTCCACTGTTATCTTACTCAATCAACAAGTATTTACGTTAAACACCTACTAGGTGTCAAGATACTGTGTAGGCACTTTGGATACAAATACAAAAGTGAGACACAGTCTTCCCTGCCCTGAAAGAGCTTGTGTTCTACATTAGGGATGTACCATGTTTTTTTTACTGATAAGTATACTGTGTTTTGGAGGAGGGAGCAGTCACAACTGGGGCATTCAAGGAAGGTCCCTTCAAGGAGGTGGTACTTGAACTGAACTTCGAAAGAAGCCTGCGTTTAGAAGAGGCTGAGATGAGAGCATTCTAGGCAAAAGAGGCAAGAGATGGAATGTTGTGTGTAGGGAAGAGCAAATAGGACAGAAAGCGTTGAGAGGAAGTTGAATGTAATCATGACTAGAAATTCTGGAGGCAGTTTTTCAAGGCTTTTACATGTCAGGTACAGAGGAGTTATATCTTATCCTAAAGATAGTGGGAACTTAATAATGCTTCTTGAACAGGAGAGTGCCATGGTCAGATCTGTGCTTTACAATATCATTTTGGCAGCTGTATAGAGGATGGATTGGAGAGGAGAGAAACTAGATTAGAAGAGAGAGCTGTGAAGACACTATTCCACCAGGCTGGGCAAAGTCTGATGGTTAGAGAAGTCACAGATGTGGAAGGTGGAAGAGTGGTATATAAGAAACCTAGGTGACTGGAATAATGTTGAATCTTGATACAAATAGAGGAATGAGGTTAAGTAGAAAGATGGTTATGTTTTGTGAAGTTTGAGTAAAAATATGTGATGCTTTGTGAATCTTGGAATAGTATACTTCATGTACTGGTCTTCTTGTTCTTCTGTTCTCCTGTACTCTCCTTCTTCTGTGCCTCCTGTAGTAATTTGTTGATATCTTATCTTTTTACTAGACTGAAGGTAGGGGTTAGATCTCATCTAAATTTCCTGTCTCTCCAGTCACCTAAGATAGTTATTTTGTACCTAGTAAGTCAGAAAATGGAGAAATGAAAGCTTACCTTGCAGTAAACTTCTGAAGTATAATATAATAACTGATAGAATCATTACTCTGTAGCATTATGAAGTTTTACATATTAAGTATATTGTATTGAAGGGAGTAAGTAAATTATGCAGTCTTATTTAGATTTTTTTTGTATTAAAATTGCTAATACATGTTGGTATTAAAGAGGGAAAAATTTGAGTTACTTACGTATGACCCTTTCCTTTTCCAGTAATGCTGAATAAATGGGACATTAACCTTTAATAATTTAGTTGAAGATTTTTTTAGAGGGAGTGACCAAAAAATTACCAGTATGCTTTAAGGTTGAATAAATAAGATATCTTCTAATAAAGTCATAGATTTAAAATTCTGGAAGGAATTTTGGGTTCTATAGAGCCCAGCCCACTCCTTTAACAGATGAGTTTCCCTTTTATCTCCATTTATTTGAAGAGTGTAAATCTGTAGTGTGACTATATTTATTGTTAGAATTGACAATGTACTATAAAAGCACAGCATATTTGCTTTTTTATTTTTCCTTAGGTGCATTTAGTCTTTTTTCTTTTACCTTAGTTATGGGAGAATAAACTGATGCAGTCTAAAGCAGTGGATGGATTTCATTCAGAAGAACAATATTTGATACAAGTGCAGCAGCAACAGCAACAGCAGCAACAACAACAGCAACATCACCATCACCACCACCATCAGCAAGCACAACCCCAACAGACTGTACAACAGCAATCTCAAACGCAACAGGTCCTTATTCCTGCATCACAGCAAGGTTTGTATGAAGTTGGTTTCAGGCTTTTAGATGTCATCTTTATTTTTTCCTCTTGTAGAAGAAATCGAATCTGAAAGAGTTAAACCAATCATGGGTAAATGGTGCTTAGCGAAACTAGAAAATGGCATGAAATATTAATGTTGGTTTATGTCCCAGTTTCCTTCTTTTGGCTCAGTTATGTGCATATTCATTTACTCTTCCAGGATTAATCCAACATAGAAACTATTATCATAATGCCTTGCACTTAGTGGATACTTAAATATTTGTTGAATCAAGTTAATGCCTAGTGTTATTACAATAGGATCAAGATTTAGAGGTGGAAAGGACCTTATAGATAATTTATTATTATCCAAACATAATCTTGATTAGTCTAGCCCCCTTCATTTTATAGAGGAGGAAACTGAAGCTCAGAAGAGTTCATGTGACTTGATAAAGGTCATGTAGCCAGTATATAACAGAACTGGGATTCAAGCCTACATTTTCAGATTTGAAACTGTGACAGGTGAAATCTGAAATAACTGAGGATACAAAGGTTTGAGCTTCCGAACATAAATTTATTAAGCGAAAGTATGCCAATCGCATAACAAATCAGGACCAGGTTTCCTCAGTTTGACACTGGACCCCTGAATACAGGGGAAGATTTTTATGCATTAAAAGAAAATAATAGGATATAAACCAGAATGTGAGATTAGGTAATCTGATTTCTAGTTGGAAGAAAGATTAGGGACTTTCCAAGTTGGGAGGGAGAGAGTAAATAGGTACAACAACCAGAAATAAAAAATTTTTTAAAAAAGGTGTCCCCACACCTCCTGAGTATCTTTATTCAGTTAAAGGAATAAGGAAGCAGTAACTGATTGACAAGTGTGGAGCCAGTTTTCAGATGAGACCTATGGGTTGCTTGAAAAGTATAATTGTGAGAAAATTCCTTGCATCGATCTTCAGATCTGACCATTTTCTGGTCAGCATAAACTAAGTTAAGTTTTAAGTTAAGGTACTCTAAGCAACAGGTAGGAGTCCAGCATCCCATCTATGCAGGGCTAGGTTCAAATAATGCAGTGAAGTTTACTCACAATTCCCATAATTGAATAAAGTTTTCTCACAAGACAGAAATTGGACTAGACCCATAATTGAATAGAAAGGGAACGGAGCTAGCTCCAGGAATTGAGTTACAAGATGGAGTTAGTGTGGTTCACTCAATTCCCACAATGCCCACAAAACTCAGTGCTCGTTCCATTACACTGTGCTCTTACTTGCCTGTGTAAATAACGAATTATTATTTCACACTTGAAATACCCACATGCCTAAGCTAAGACAGAAATAACTTAAATTTTTCCTTGGACAGAGATTTGCTGTTCTTATTACTTTGGTAAGTCAGTTACCAATGATAAGTCAGTTAACCTCTGGCTTTCCTTTCCTCATTTGCAAAATGAGTAGGTTGGCCTACATGATTAATAAGTTACATTTTATAAGTTCAGCTATTTTCCAGTACTTGGTTTCCATAAGTTGGGCTGAACTTTAATAACAAGAAATATCCTAGTTAATTAACCTTATGCCCTCAATTTATGTTTTCAGTATTGGCAGCATTTCTTCTTAGTCTTTTTTTGTCAGTGGTGAGTTTTATTGTGCTAAACTGTCTCCACATATTTAACCACAGAAATTCTAAATATTGCTTCACATATTTGCAGATGTATTGCCTGTTACTTATTTTACCAGTTCAGATAGTAAAGCATGTGTTCATCTTAAGTCATTAAACCCCAAGGAATTTTATGTTAATGGAAAAAGTGTACAAATTTATAAACACCTGTGAAGCAATATGGTAACTGCATTTCAGAAGAGTGATGACTTTATCAGTTGTAGGTAACGAGTTAGATCACAGCACCTGTTTTTTTAGTCTGAGTCAGCTCTCCTGAATTGACTGTGATTGAAAAAAAATTTCACTTGGTGACATATCTTTTGGTGATGAATCTGACCTCAGTTGGCTAGCCTGGTCTTCAAGCAGCAGTTTAGCTTGGGTTATACTCTGCTGGCATAGGCTTACATCGGTGCCAAATAAGGCTCCAGAGTAGGACTTCAGCAGAGTATTTTAATGTAATAGGTAGGCTTAACAATCATTAGATATGGAGAAAATGAATTTATTCATTTGGAGAATTTTATTATCTTTAGTTTATTTAAGGGTAGAGGGGATTTCTTTTCCTAAAACTAGTATTTTCATTTGATAAGCTTTAAGATAATTTTCTCCTTTCTGGCTTGATGACTGTTCCTCCTATTGCCTAGAGCTCTGGCATTAGGATTTTATGTCATCATACATTAAAATTTGACTTTCTTCACTCAGAGGATATTTGGGATAAATGGATTTTCCTCCTATTCTCTGAAATTTGTGGAGTTGAACACTTTTTAAATATGCACTGCTACCACAAAATACTGGTTAGGAGTTAGTGGTAAATTTGAAGTTAGGTGATAAGCCAAATTATTAAGGTTTAAATGTCTTGATGGTTGACAAGGATATATTGCTAATGTTTAATGGCACTTAACTTTGGGCAATAATTTTTTTTTTTATAGGCTATTGGGGTTAATTGACTTGCCATGGGTCACACAGCTAGTAAATGTCAAGTGTTTGGTCTGAGGCCGGATTTGAACTCGGGTCCTGTTGACTTCAGGGCCGGTACTCTATCCACTGTGTCACCCAGCTGCCCCCAGCAATAAGTTTTTAGGGGCAACCAGGTGGCCCAGTGGATAGAGCAGAACCTGGAGAACCCGAGTTCAAATCCAGCTCAGATACTTGACACTTACTAGCTGTGTGACTCTGGGCAAGTCACTTAACCCTGTTACCTAGCAAAAAAACAAAACCAAAAATAAGTTTTTAAAGAAAAAAAATAAAAATCAGCATAACTTATCAAGACATGAAACAAGTCTTGAAAATAAGTGCAGTGTTCAATACTTGTAGACCTCCTGCCTCAGAGGGGAGGTGGGGGGTTGGGGTATCCTCTCACATTGCCTTTTTTGAGCCATACTTGTTGTTTATAATTTTGCAGCATTCACTTTTGAAGAGAGAGAGAGTGTGAGTGCCATCTACAATATTGTAGTCATTGTGTATATTGTTTTTTTGGCTTTTACTTCATTCTACTTCTATGTGTTCATCACATTCAGCATTTCTTAAAACACAGTAATAGTCCATTACATTCATGGATCGTGCTGTGTTTGGCCATTTCCAAATTTATGGGTATCAATTTTGTTTACGATTTTTTGGTATCACAAAAAGTGCTACTATAAATTTGGGGGTACGTGGGGAACTTTAAACAGTAATACCCTTGTTTCTAATATTCTCTTGCTGCTTATTCTGTTTTCAAGCCTAGCTAGAGCTTATTGTCACTGACTACTATTAGATGATGTGGTAAGGCTTGACTTTTCAGATCTGTTCTTAAATAATCTCTGTCAGTGGTTAGATCTTGAATTATAAAAGACCAAAAACCTATTTTTGTGTCTGTGAGGTATATGCATATAAGTTATAGAATCTCAAGAGTTTAGAAGGACCTCTGAGCTGAAGTCCCTAAGGCATGAATCTTACTACAAAATGTCCTTTACAAGTGCACCCCTAAGCATAGCTTGAAGACTTCCAGTGAGGAAGAGTTCATTCATTTATAAGGGGCAGTCTATTTAATATGTAGATATTTCTCAGTTGCTAAGAAATTTTTCTTTCTATCAAATCAACATCCGCTTCACTGTGGCTTTCACCCTTTAGTCCTGGTTCTGCTTTTTAGAACCGAACAGAATAAAACTAGTCTCTTTTGCTACTTGACAGTTAGAAAACACCTGTCGTGTTTTCTTCTTCAGGCTGAATATTTCTAATTCAGCTGTGGGACTCTAAGCCCGGTTCACTTTTGTATCCAGTCTAGCTTGTCAGTATATTTCTTAAGTTTTGGTACCTGGTACCTGGTACTGGAAAAGATACAATCTGAACAGGTCAGAATATACTGAGACTACTCCCTTCTGCTAAGAGCAGGTGAACATATACACATTTTATACATGTGTGTTTGTGTATTGCAATAGTGACCAAGCTTCCACCAGCCTTGAATATCTAGAATGCAGTTATTTGTTAGCTGAGAGGTATTGTAAGGCCTCAGAGGGAAATAGCTACATTTTATTCCATAAGAGCTATACATTTTTTATATTAGAGTTGGGAATTAGGCTTGTTGATAACATGAAGTGAGTGGACGTAAAATCAGAACTACATATGAGAATGGGCAAGGGATTGGGATTATTAGAAGATAAAAGACTGAGTAATGACAGCTAACAGGAGACTGTAAGAGTTGTAAGGCAAATAGTCCCTTTTATATAGCACATAGCCTTTGTAGATCATCACTGGATAACTGTATCATATAATAATAAATTTTTCTATTGATTGACTAATCAAGGAAAAGGTAAAAAAATTCTCAATGTATCCTGTGCTATGTAAGAATGTAGGGAATTGTGTACTGTGTTTTAGGCATTTTTTTAATCAAAAAGGATAAAAACTTCAATTGCCTCATCAGTGCTTATTAAACTGTGGGCCTAAACAGCCACTTGGGGCATAACACTTTATTCTCTGACAGTGTTACACTATATAAAATTAGTTATCAGATCTAAATTATTTTAAAATACTAATATTACTGGACTGTTACTGAACTCTCATATAATTTTCACATGAGAATCACTTTTGTTGCCTTTCAGATTTGTGCTTAGTAGGAAAAAATTGATGTTCTCCCAGCTGCTCTGCAATACTAATCCTACTTTTGTTTTCTTTGACCCCTAGTGCACGTTTTTTATTGATGTTCTTTAAACATATTTTTGAGTAGGTGGGAAAATTATTGGTTTTCATAGTATGTTGATAAAAAAAATTATGTATTTTTTTTTTAGTACTTTGCCATTTTAAAATAATGAAAGTTTTGTGGACACCTTTTAAGATTCCCAGCTCCCTTATGAAGTTATTAATTCCTTGCATATGAGTTCTTAAAGCATAATTGTTTTTGTTTTATGTTTTTAGCAGCACCACCTCAAGTTATTGTACCAGAGTCTAAGTTGTTACAACATATGAATCCGTCAAGTATGGTAAGATTCACAATTTACATTTTGATCAATTATACCTCAACCTCATTCTAAATAGGATATTTATAACATGGTGATATAAATTGATATTAGTAAGAGAAAACAAAATAAGAGATAACCATTACGGAATGGTTACAAATAGATTATTTTATTTTTTAGATTTAGCAGTGGAAAAAAATAATGTACGTGATTTGAGTTCTGAATTATATAATTCTCTTTGGCAGAACATAAAATCTGACTCTTCATGGGAGGCAATAACTATTTCCAAAATTTATTTTTTATGTGTGTGTCTGTTGGGACAAGTAATCTAATAATTAACCCTAAAGAAAGCATGGTGGGAATTCTTATGTCATCCAAAAGGGGTGTGTGTGTGTGTGTGTGTGTGTGTGTGTGTGTGTGTGTATGTGTGTGTCCGTGTCCGTCCCCGGGTCCATGTCAGGGTCCTCTGTCCTTAATTTAAATTTACGAATATGCACTAAATTTTAGCAAACCCGCAAATTATTTTTGCACCTAGTAACTACAGGTATGACTTTTTTTTTTCATATTTGGAAGTAGGTACTTTATTTGAATACTGCTTTCCAGCTAGCTTCACTAGCTGTCTTTGATACCGTCTCTCATTGTTTTCAGGCTACAACTTTTTAGAAAGTGGTAGTGTTTAAGTGAGATGAATGCTAAGAGGTTATTATAATTGTATGTGCATACATGCATGCATACATAAATACTCCATATATAGTACACTTTTGATTGTCTCATCTTCATCCCCGTTCAGATATGAGCTCCTTCAGAGTAAAGATTGTGTTTTTGCCTTTCTTTGTATCTCTCATGCTTAGGGTGTCTGTCACTGATAAGTACTTAATATTGGCTAATGCCTAAAGAGCTATTGCAAAGATTGTTAGACTTCTAATTTTTTTAATGTGCTGTTTCCTTCTTGAAATTCATGAGAAAAGGATTATTTCCTAATTTGTGATGTAGATCTCAATTACAATATTTCTTAATACTCATGACCTTTCCTTTAGTGTTTACAGTAAAATTAATTTAGGCACTCTTTTAAGTTATAAACACTTCTCTTATTCTTGTAAATACAAAGACCAACTACCCATTCTCCTTGTCCAGCGTACTGTTTTTGATAGCAACCAGGTTGTTTTGTTGCATTCATAGTGCTAACTGCTTGGAGTTTACCTCAAGATTGTGCTGCATCCATCTCTCCTCAGTCATTTGCTTTTCACAACCCACAGCTCAGTTGAATTTACCAAGACAATCTTTCTCAAATGTACATAATTTCCATTTTTAACGTTTTTGTCTGGCTTGGGGGTTTTTAATTTGTGTTTCATTAATCCCCTTTGGCAGTCTGTTGAAGTCTGCGGAACCTTTTTCAGAAATGCTTATGATTAAAAAAGAGACTGATTATATTGAAATAGAAATATTAAAATATTTTTTAAAAATTTGCTGACTCAGGGCAGCGAGGTGGCACAGTGGATAGAGTACCGGCCCTGAAGTCAGGAGAACCTGAGTTCAAATCTGGCCTAAGACCAAACACTTGACACTTACTAGCTGTGTAACCCTGGGCAAGTCACTTAACCCCAATTGCCTTTAAAAAAAAATTTTGCTGACTCAAGGTGAGCTAGACTTCCTGTTCTAGCTCCTTTGTCCTTTCTCCTTCCCTTTTTTTCCTCTCCCTTCTCATCCTTTCAGTTATAAGTATATGAACAGATGTGATACCTGTACTCAGGAAAAGAAAATCTAGATGTTTTGAAGTATATTTATCTTGATTAAGGATCTTCTGTCATGAGTTTAAATTCTTTGACAAAATCCAAAATTTTCTCGTGTCTCAACAGAGGTCTTTGTTATTCTCCTCAAAGTAAACTTGTTTTTCTTCCAGAAATAATCTTCAAGATAGATTTAACTTTGTCCATTTTTTCCCATTTTGGTTTCTTGTTTGAAACTGCTTTTTCTATTTGGTTCTGCATTTACAATTTGAGACCTGATTTATTTTTACCTCCTCCCCCCAGAGTGCTGCTGCCACTGCTGCTACCTTGGCACTGCCTGCTGGTGTTACTCCTGTTCAGCAGATAATAACTAATTCAGGTAATTCAGGTAATTCAGGTAATTCAAAATGATAGGTCTATTTGACATCTCAAAAATTATACTATCACCTAATCTTGATTGATGAATTTATGTTTTCATTTAATTAGGAGACTGCAAGTAATTGTGAGCTTTTAGTGCCCGTTATGCTTTCATTATAACACTTCATTTTTTTCTCAGTATAAACTCTGTTCATGGAAATAGCAGAGAAGAATGTATACAGTAGTATTGAGCACTAAGATCTGAATACTTAATTGGTTAGATCTGAATATGTTTTACCTTGTGTTATATATGTAAACCATATTTGTAAATATGTAAGCCATAGTTTACTGTGTTCAGTATTATTATTCCTGCTTAAATATTGTGAAAGAAAAAAAACTACTCTGTATTTATTTAATCAATGTCTGTCAGAGACAATTTATATAAATACATATATATATATATATATATAAAATTACATGTGTGTGTGTATATTTCTAAGCATTGGAAGCATCCCCTATAAATTCAAATTCTCCCTAATCCACGTTAAGGCCTTATTGCGTTTTGCCTGGCACACAGGCAAATTAAATGTTGGACCTGGAGTCGGGAAGACCTGAGTTCCAAGTCATTTAATTTCTGCCTTCTTCAGTTTACTCATCTGTAAAATGAGAATAATAATAGTATTTTTTCCCCCAGGGGTGTTGTGAGGAACAAATGAGATAACATTTGTAAAGTGCTATATAAATGCCAGCTCTGTTAGTATTATTATATATCATTATACACAATAAGCTCTTAATAAATACTTGTTGGCTGATTTTATAGTATTTAAGAAACAAAGACATGTTCTTTTACCAAGGTAAGGCAAAGTACAAAGTATAGGATAGAGTTTTTGATTTGGTGAAGCAGAATAATAATGTTTAATATTTAAAGGTATACCCTTGGAGATGATATCTTCTTCAAAACTAAGGTCATATCTAGGGTGTAAGAAAAGGATCGTATTCTTGGCCACATAGCTTTAAGGAATGAATGCTGTTAGTTTAGTATGCCATACAGGAGGCGGCAGCATAGAGTACACATCCTTGGTCAGAAAGACCTGGGTTCAAGTGCTAGCTTTCGTACGTACAGTATTGGCTATTTGAAGTCATTAACCTCTCATGCACCAGGCAGCTTGGTAAGACTGTAAGTTGCAGAACAGCTGTCAAATCTGCTCTAGTCAGAGGAGATTCAGAATTCCTGACTAAGGGAATCACCAGTCTGCTAAAATAAATATAACCGTGTATGTGTGCATGTGCGCATACACATGTACAATGCACAGGTCTATTTCTAAAGTTCTTGAAGTTTTCTCTTACAAGCATTTTCAGTAATCCTGTCACTTTGATCTTGCTTTATTTACTTTATTTAGGAAGAAGGACTCACTTAGATGTCAGCCTAACTGTTAGGCTACTAGGATTCTATTTTGAATGAAGCTGTGTTTCTACGCAGCCCTCTAGTAGTCTGAAAAACGTACATACTTCTAAAGTAATGCTAGTAGGATCATAGGATTTTAGAGTAGGGCTTCAAAAGTCTCTAGATCCCTTCTCAGGCTAATCTTTTCAAATGCATAAAATGAAGGTAAAGGTTTACAAAGAAAACCAGTTACACTGAAATGCAGTTATCAGATATGTATATAGATATAAAATTCACAGGCTCTAGGTTAAGAACCTCTGATTTGGACATCACCTAGTCCAGCTTTTTCACCTTTCAGATGAGGCAACTGAGGCTCAGAGGAGTTAAGTGATACATAGCAGAGGTAGGATTTTAAAATCCAGTTTCCACCTCACTCTAGATTCAGTCTCTTTACTCACTAGTAGAATAGACTCTGTATTTCAGTCAGTAGTTTGGATCCTGTAATCAAATCACACTTTTAATAAAGCCCTGTTGGAGGGCAGCAAAAAGATGAAAACAAAAGAAAGTGCTGTGTTTAAAACAGCACTTTGACAGGAATTTTAACAAAAGGAGAGAAGAGTATATTAAGTATAGATGATAGCACTAAATTCAGTTTTGGGGCATATTATCTGCTAACTAGCATATTCACTGAGAACTTTTCAGTGAAGCCTATTTGGTCTAACTTGTGATATGCTATAACAATCATTACTTAAAAGGTAACTTGAATAACTTCTTGTTGTTATTATAGGCCAGATTCTACAGGTAGTCAGGACTGCCAGTGGTGCCCAGTACATCCTTCAGCCACAGCAGTCGGTGGTTTTGCAGCAGCAGGTTATACCACAGATGCAACCTGGGGGAGTACAAGCTCCTGTTATACAACAGGTAAAAGAATCTTTAATAATAAGGATTACTATGCATGTATGTAGCACCTACAAGTGGTGTTAATTCTCACTAGCATTAGAATTTAAAGATTATCTCAGCCACTCTTCCTCATTTGGCATATAAAGACACTATGGCCTGTTCTGCTAGAGACCTTGCCTAAGTAAAACTAGGTGATTGTAGCAGAAATGGGACTAGCTTGGAAGGTATCCAGAAATCCTTTCCCATGGTCTGTGTAGTATGTCTCCATCAAAGATATTAAAAGGCATGGTGGGATCCTCAGTGGCAGAAAGGAAACTGAGAGCCTCATGGCTTCCTTTTTTTCTTCAGACTAAAGTTTTAGGCACTGTAGAAAAAGACTATTCTTCACAAAGAAAAAATGTCACAATGACATTGAAAATCTTCCTGTGTACTGAGACATATTGAAAGGTTTGAGATTCAGATTCAATTCAAATAAAGCTTAAATGTCATCTCTATTTAGGAGATCGTGCTAGGTGCTGTGCATATAAAAATGAAGAAGGTTGGAGGGAGAAGAAATTATATAAATACAGTACAATTTAAAGGAGATCAACTATGTGGAAAAGGTCAAGCGTGGGTCTGTGAGGTTGAAATGGAGGAAAAAATTCCTATTAATTGAGATGGTCTTGGAAAATTTCAGAGAAGGTAGTACCTGAGTTGGTCCTTAAACATAAAGAACAATTTCACACGATGAGAAAGTTAAGGGAGTCTGATACAGGTATGTGGGCAGATTCACGTAAGAATGAGAAGGCAAGCCAGAATTGGGAATAATCCAGTTTGAGTAGAGTTTGAGCTGAGCAGAAATATGCCAAGACCTCTATTAGGAAAAGAACTTGGTGATATAGAGGCCAGATGAACATTTTCAAATTGTTCTGTTCTTGTGGCTTAAAATACCCTTGCTTTCTCCTTGTTTTCTTCAAATTGTATGTCCTCATTACTTCTTGCCTAGATTATTGCAACAACCTCCTAATTGGTTTCCCTGCCTCAAGTCTCTCATCACTCCAGTCCAGCTTACTTTTACTGTTACCATTGCTTCCAAAGTAATTTTTCTCAGGCTCAGACTTCTGGCTCCCTTAATCAGCTGAATCCAGTGGCTTCCTATTGCCTCTAGGATAAAATATAAAACCCTTGGTTTGACTTTTAAAGCCATGCACAACATGGCTTCAGCCTATCATCCTATCTTCATTGGGCATTACTCCCCCTCTCATACTCTCTGATCCTTCCAGACTGGCCTTCTCTCTGTTCCTCACGTATAGCACGCCATCTCCTCTTTTCATGCACTGGCCATCCCCTATGTCTGTGATGCATGTAATTCCAGCAAGTAGCAAGCATGTTTTATCATTTCAAGGCTTTACTTTTTTCATCATATTTACAAAGCTTTATATGCTTGCATTACTTATTATAATCTGTCATGTTGCTTCTGTATTTTTCTGTTTGGTTTTGTAAAACAGGTTAAGACTTAAGTTTTTAGTTCCAAATTTTCTCCCCATCTCACCCTTCCCCCCACTCCTAGATGGCATGCATTCTGAATACACCTTAATGTGCCCTCTCTTCTATCATCCCCTCATTCTCTTATCCCCTTTTCTCTTCTATTTTCCGAAAACTACAAGTTTTTAGATCACATATTTTAAATGCGGAGAAAAATATACTAGGTGATAGAATTCTGAAAGATTTCTTGAATTTTGCTCAACAGCTGTCTGTTGAAGCTGGTATTTTTTCCAGTCTTACAGTGTAAGAATATCTTCTCTGTTGAATATGTGAATGAAATGTATATGAATATAGAATGTTGAATTGATTTGGGGAACGTTTATTTTGTTGTTTAAAGAACCCTCTTCCTTTAAGACATAACTCAAGCACCATCTTTTTCTTTTTAAATTTTATTTGTTTATTTGTTTTTAGTTTTCAACATTTACTTCTATCAGATTTTGGGTTCTGAATTTTCTCACTCCCTCCGCTTCCCCCTCCCCAACATGGTGTGCAATCTGATATAGGATATATATGTACAATCATATTAAACATATTTCCACATTAGTCATATTGTAAAGAAGAATTAGAACCAAAGGGGAAAAAAACCACGAAAAAGAAGAACAACAAAAAAAAAGAGCAAATAGTATGCTTCAATCTGCATTCAGACTCCATAATTCTTTCTCTGGATGTGGATAGCACTTTTTTTTCCATAAGTCTTTTGGAATTGTCTTAGATCCTTGTATTGCTGAGAAGAGTTAAGTCTGTCAAAGTTAGTCATCGAACAGTGTTGCTGTTACTGTGGACTATGTAAAATGTTCTCCTGATTCTGTTCATTTCACTCAGCATAAATTCATGTAAATCTTTACAGATTTTTCTGAGGTCCACCTCATCATTTCTTATGGAACAATTGTATTCCATTTCATTCATATACCATAACTTGTTCAGCTATTCCCCAACTGATTGGCATTCCCTCAATTTCCAATTCTTGTCCACTACAAAAAGAGCTGCTATAAATACTTTTGTACGTGTGGGTCCTTTTCCTGTTTGTATGATGTCTTTGGGATACAGACCTTAGTAGTGGTATTGCTGGGTCAAAGGGTGTGCATAGTTTTATAGCCCTTTAGGCATAGTTCCAAATTGTACTCCACAACGGTTGGATCTATTCACAACTCCATCGATTAATAAGCACCATCTTGTTTATGAAGTGTTTCCTGATCTCCCTCAACTGCTAGTGCCTTTCTCCCAAAATACATTGTATTTAATTGCTTACGATATACTATATTTATTTGCTTCAGATTTATGCTCTATAGGTACTTTTCATCTTAAGCTTATTGCAAGTACGAGTTTGTTTTATTCGTGTACTTTGATCTCCAATACTTGGAAGAGGGTAGAAGCTAGCTTACTTATTGTTCAGCTATTGAAGCCAGCCTAACCAAAGTGATCCTTAGGTAACCTTTAAATTTAAGCTCATGCCCTTGCCCCAGGAACTTCCTGTATTTTATGGCCTGAGGCCCAGATACTGTGGTGGGAAAGTCTGGATCTAGCAAATAATCTTGAGTACTCTTGTACACAGTTGCTTTTTCTTCTATATTATTTACGTGGATGAAGGTATAAAATGGCATGTTTTATCAAATTTGCAGGTTCATAAAGCTGGAAAGGATAGTTAAAATATTGACTGTGAATCATATCCAGAAAGATCTCAACAGCATAGGATGATGTGCCGAATTTAACATAATAGAAAATAAAGGATCATTGTAAAGTCTTTACCAGATTTGTATATATAATAGAGTGCCAGGAAGACTCATCTTCCTGAATTAAAATCTGGCCTCAGATACTTACTAGTGGTATGACCATGGGCAAGTCACTTAACTCTATTTGCCTTATCTGTAAAATGAGCTAGAGAAGGAAGTGGCAAATGATTCCAGTACCTCTGCCAAAAAAACCCAACTGGGATCATGAAGTGTTGGACGTCACTCAAAAATGACTGAACAGCAAGAATAAAGGACAGGAGAAACATGGTTTGAAAACATTTTCTGTGAGGGGAATACCGGGGATTTAGTGAACTACAATGTTAGTTTGTTAAACAATGTAATATGGAAGCTAGAAAAAGGAAACATGATGTTTAGCTGCATGAATAAATAAATAAATGCATAGTGTCCAAACAAGGGAGATTATTAAAGTCTCATGTCCTCTACCACAGTCTGTACATATCTGGAATACTATGTTCATTTTTAAGTACCACATTTTAGGAACCAAAAAGTAATTGGAAATCACAAAATCTACTCTCTTTCCCTGGCAAGATAGCTGCTTAGGGTCAGGCCCTCCCTCCATCTGAAGCCCTGAACAAGAACTAGGAATTGAATACAGAGTAGGGACTAAGCCCCATCCACTGCTGCAGTCTGTTGCTTTGGTCCATTTTTAGGGATCTTCCTGAATCCTTGAGGCTTGTGCAGTCACTCACCTAGAGGTCATTGGCTTTAGGCCTTGTCCCCTAAAGCAACTTAGACTGGAGTTTAAGCTAGTTCAAGCCTGTCTCCTGGGAATTGGCCGAGTTTTCTTGTTCAGTCCCCTACCACAAGGTCTAGGGTTTTAGATTTTGTCTCCTGGAGTGTCCAAACTCAAGTTAGCATTGATCTCAGGCCCTGTTTTCTAGAGCTGGTGTGTTATTTTATAGGAAGAAGGATCTCATTCGTATTTCTCTTTGGTTTTGGTAATTCTCTTTAATATGGCACTCTTCTTCATTAGGTGATATCATTTGTGCTCATGTGAATCACCAATATGGGTCTTAGTCATGTTTGACAAGTATTTGGAGTTTTCTCTATCTTGTTCTAAATACATGTCCTGGGTGGATAGCAGACCTCACTCTGTTGTTATGGGGATGGAGCTTGACAAATTTTGGGCAGAAGATAAATATTTAGGAGTTTAACTAAATAGTGGTGTTAGGTCAAAACTATGTAAATGGATAGATCTTGGAAGAAAAAAAAGTGGGAGAGGGAGAAAGCTGAGAACAGTCATGAAAAGTATCCATTTAGAACTAGGAAGAACAACCACTGAAGAAAATTGAGAACAATGTAATAGTTAAAATTGTTAAACTTGAGGTGATAAGACAATAGTAAAGTTGCTTAGGATAAAGGAGATAGTATATTTGTAAAAAAGTGAGTGAAGAAGGAGTAGAGAGGTAGACATTCAAGAGGAAAGAAAATGGGAATGATAGAGGGCACAAGCTCCTAGAGAAGATGGGAAAAGATTAAAAAATAAGTGCAGGTGGTCAGGTTTGCTTTTTCAAGAAAGAGGACAACATATCTAAAATATAACTCAATATTTTCCCTCCCCTCATTCTAGCTCCTCCTCCTCCTCCTATTTCTGTTGAATGGACCACCATTCTTTCAGTCACCTAGGAGTCATTTTCAACTCTTTGCTCTTACTAGCCCAGTCCATATCAAATTAATTGTCAAGACCTGTCAGTTCCATATTTTGTCCTCTTTTAGTCATACTGCAATCATTTTAGTATAGGCCCTCATTATCCCTACTACTGAAATAGCCTCTTCCTAAATCTCCCTGAATACAGTTTCTTCCCTTTCAATCCATCTTCCACATTCCTGGTAAATAGATATTCCTAAAGTTCAGGTTTGACCCTGTCACTCCCATGTTCAAAAAACCTCAGTGACTTCTCATTTTTATTTCCACATTTTCCCCAGACTTACCTCTTCAACTCGTCCATCTTCAGATGAAGTGTCCTCAGCCCCATCAGCTTGTAGTACCAAATAAACAATAAAATATAAATCCCTCTTTGGTATTTCTAGTATTTAAAGCCCTTGATAATCTTGCTCCAGTCTGTCTTTCCCACTTTATTTTTCCTCCTGCATTCTATCTAAGCTCCAGTAAAACTGGTCTGCTTACTGTTCTTTGTGTATAACTTTCCATTTCCTCCTTCCGTGCCTCGTGTTAGCTGTGTCCCTGTGCCTGGAGCGCTCTCCTTTCCTACCTTGTTCTGTTTTTCGTAATAATCTGTGACTCCTTTCAAAGTTCAGCTGAAGTTACACCTCCTTCAAGGGGCCTTACACTAGTTGTTAGTGTTTTCTTTGCCAAATCGCTGTGTATTTATTTTGTATCTGTGGAATTTATCTGTGAATATATTGTGTGATACGAAGGGAGGGCAATGAGAGAGTTTCTGATAGATGTTTTTAATCTTTCCTGTAAAGTAGACTCATTAATTCACTGAGATAAAAAAAATAGATCAGGCGAGGGGGCATATGGGAAAATACAGAGGAGGTTTGGTCTTGGGAACGTGAAGGAATGATTTAAAAGATTTCTGCATAGCTCTGAGGAACCAATTGAGATTAGCATAAGTTTGTTGTGGACCCAGTTATCTTGGATGAAATAAGTACAAATGAGACTTTAATATTCCATTTCTTTATGTGTCAGGTTTTGGCTCCTATCCCTGGAGGGATACCACCACCAACAGGTGTCATCATACAGCCTCAGCAGATCTTATTTACAGGAAACAAGACACAAGTCATACCTACCACAGTGGCAGCTCCCACTGCAGCACAAGCACAGATCACAGCAACTGGCCAGCAGCAACCACAGCAGCAGCCTACCCAACCACAAGCTCCTTTGGTGCTACAAGTAGATGGGGCTGGGGACACCTCATCTGAAGAAGATGAAGATGAAGAGGAAGATTATGATGATGAAGAAGAAGACGATAAAGAGAAAGATGGAGGAGAAGATGGACAAGTTGAAGAGGTAAGTCTGGGGAAAATGTGGAAATGAAAAAACTTGACTGATGATGATTTTATATTTTTCATATAAACTATAGTTTTCATTGGGAAGGTTGGTATTTTAAAATACTGATTACTTAGCAACTTGCAGAATAACATTATTGTTTTAAGTTCTTCATAGAGCTATAGGATTGAGATGGAACTTGGTAAAGTGAAAACATTTAATATATCCTGTTCTTTAAAGTTTAGGTTGCTATTCAACAAATTTGCACAGTGATTAAAGTGTATGGTGATAAAATTTATGGCAGTTAAATCGTAACACTTGTGTCTACAGGTGTAGTTAAAATACATCATTTCCAACTCTTGAACTCATAGAATAGGCCTAAATATGCAACTTTTGTGATAGAGCAGACAAGTGATAGTGCATTGTTTCACTAGGTTACTACAAATAGATAAAAACATTCAAAAATGAAAAGAAACCCTAGATAAACAAAATATCTTAGATGTGAAGAATTTTCCTAGTCTCCCGAATTGCTGCTTTTGGCAATTAAAATCAGAGGTGTATACTTTCAGAGAGCTTCAGTTTGCTGAGTATTAGTAGGGTTTAATGCTAGTAATATTGACTGATGATAAATTAATATAAATATCTTTTCTAGGAACCCCTGAATAGTGAGGATGACGTGAGTGATGAAGAAGGACAGGAACTGTTTGATACAGAGAATGTTGTTGTGTGCCAATATGATAAGGTAATGACCTTAACAAATTATGGGGGTGGTTTGTATTGAAATTTCTTATCTTGCCTTTTTCCTACTGCTAATACTCACCTATTTGATTTTTAAATGAATAAAAGTAAAAAGACCCATTAAATTGGTATTGCAGTAGTATAAGCAGATAGTAATGAAGGGTCTGTATGAGGTGAAGTGGCAGTTGGAATAAAACAGGGAAGAAATTTAGGGAAATTTAGTAGAAGTGGAATTTAAAGACGTAGTTAACTGGATAGAAGAGGAAAATGAGAGAAGGAAATGCTAAAAGATTACCATTAGGTAATGGGAGATTGAGAGTGGTTGCTATGGACCAAAAATGGGAGTATATTGAAGAAAAAAGAAGATTAGTTAGATTTTGTTGTTAATTTTTTCAGGTCCTACTAGACCTTCCAGGTGGAAATACGGTGGACATAGTTAAAAATACACGTCTGGATAATATGGGAGTTAATTTGCATACAAATAAAACCTTGAGAGTGGAGGAAATTTCCATAGTGGAGTGTGAGTGTAAAGGAAGAAGAAATTGTTGGAGTACATTAAGGGGTCAAGAAAAGATTAAAGAGCCAGCATCCAAAATAGGAAAAGCACTGGAATGGTAGAACAAAGGAATATTCTTTCCCTAAAGCTAATGGAGTAAAGAGAATATACAGGAAAGAGTTAACCGACTGAGCCAAATGCTGTTGAGAAATCAGCAAGTGTGAAGACTCGCAGAAGCCATTGGATATGACTTTTGAGACATTTAGTAACGTTTGCAAGTATGGTTTCAGAGTGATGAGGGCAGAAGATTTGAGAGAGTAATTTGGGGATTGAGGAACTAGAGACAGTCAGCATTTATTTAGTGCTCATGTCAGGTGTTAGGCACTGGGAAACAATGATGGGAAAAAGTGAATGACGCTTGGGTGTAGAGCGGTCAAAGGAAAGCTGCTTTAAGATTAGGGATAGCTTGGCTATGATTGTAGGCAGCTGAGGAAAAATTAGTAGGGAAAGAGAAATACAAAGATACAAAAAAAAAGACAACAACAGGAATAAAGTCCTGGAGGATGTAGAAGGGAATGGGATCCAGGGGAGCAGATGGGTGATTATTAGCCTGCTTGAGGGGTGTGACCAGCAAGGAAGTCCTGTGGCCTATGGGCAGGCAATTCACCTTGCCAGTCTTTGCCTGCTCATAAAGTGGAAACAATGCCTACAGTACCTTCCTCCTAGGTCTGTAGTGAGGCTCACATGAAATACTGCATGTAAAATACTTGACAGACTTCGAAGTGACATAGATGACAGCTCTGTGACCAGTAGGAAGGAGGAGATGATGGGTGAGGGAACTGAGGTGTAAGGACTATAGTAAAAGATTTGAAGAGGAGTACAAAAACAACTCTGGTCTTAGCTCTTCTTGGTTCAAAGCACATGTATTGTGCATTTCAGAAACAAAACAAACTTGAAGTTAACTGCACAATTGAAAATGTATTGTCAGCTTGTGGTGTAATAAAATACTGGATTTGAACTTAGAAGACATAGGTTTAAATTCTACTACTACCCATGACTTATACTTCCTGAGTCTCTTGCTTTCCTCACACCTGAAATCGGGGGGTTGGATCACTTTGGGTTCTAAATCTTTTTGACAGTCATACTATTATCTATTTCAGAAATATTACATGTATATCTTATCACTATTTGGGAAAGAGAAATAGGAAATAAATTGTTTTAAATTATGTTTTAAATTTTCATAGATACATGAACAGTTTTAAAATGTATTTACTTATTGTTATGTTTACTAGTATTAATATAATGCTAACTTACTATAGGATTTTAAAAAAGACCTTTTTGACTTCATTTGTAATTGATGTCCAACATTTGTTTTGTATAGGATATTAGTTATAGAATATAGTCTGCTCTATTATGGTCCTGTCCCTTTCTTTTCTTACCTTCTGTGTTATAGAAGTCAGTATACCCATACAACTGAAGAGGCATAGAAATTTTCTAGAGTAAATCTCTCACTTTACAAATGAAGAAACAGTTCTAGAAAGGTTGTCTTAACCTAGTCATATAGGTAGGTAATGATATCTAGGACTAGAATCCATGTGTCTTGATTCTAATTCCACTATATTTTTCAGCTGTTCAATGAATTAGACTACTGAGGTCAAAAGTCTCTAATGTTTAGGTGTATGGCAACCATTTCAGTATGTTTTGCTCTGCTTTAAGTTAATTAGGATACTTTCATAAGTGTCAGTTACTCGAATGTGTGTATGTATGTGTATGCCTCTCCTCTGTTTGGCCATTTCACTGATTTTTCCACAAGAGGGCACCCAAAAGAAGTAAATGAAAGATTCATAGACTAAAGTATTTAGTATCATTTATATTCCAGCAATGAATTAGACTACTGAGGTCAAAAGTCTCTAATATTAAGATATATGACAATAATCCCAGCATGTTTTGCTCTGCTTTAAGTTAATTAGGATGCTTTCACAAAATGTCAGTTACTATACCTGCAATTGTGTATGTATATAATACATACATGCATATATACCCACAGCTAGACTAGAAATTGACACAAGAAGACATAATAATAGAGAATATCTATTTGAAGGATTGTTATGTAGAAGAGAAATTAGATAGTCTGAAGTTAAAGGGCAGAATTCTAGGCCCAGTGAGTAGAAATGTCTAGGAGTTCGATTTCTTATAAGAACATTGATGTTTCAGAAAGGGAAAAGGAGCAACCCTTCATTGACTTTTTTTCCACAACCGTGCCATTTTGGAAGGGAATATTTTACAATGTTAATATAATTTGGACTTGGAGTCAGGGCAGAAGGGTTTTTAGGCTTAAAAAGGGTATCTAGTAAAATGAGTCAGTCAATTAAGGAGGTTGTAGTCATCAAAATAAAGTTGTTTTAAGTAGTGTGGTAGCAGCCATGGAAATGGAATAAATAAAGAACATATTGGAAGAAAAATGGACAGAACTTAGTGACTTTTTTGGTGACGTTTTTGAGGTGCAGAAGAAAGGTAAGTGATTTAGTAGAAAATCGCAGGATTTAGAATTGGGAGGGAGCTTAAAGATCACTTAGTTCAATTCCTGCATATACAGTTGAGAAGATGTTAGGTGACAGTGAGTAAAAATAGAACCAGATTTCAGCACTAGGTCATTTGGCTCAAATCTAGTCCTTTTTTTCTGTGGTGCCTCTATAGGAGGAGTTCAGTGGTCTGTGAACTATAACTATTTCAGCATAATTGGTTTTCTTTGTAGTATTCTGTATTTTCTGGTATACATTTAAGGAGAGTCCTTCACCAATCTTCATGAAACTGGTGAAATAATAGTAACACATGCAAAAAAGTTAAAAACACTTGCTTTATAAGAAGAGCACTAAACTTAAGAGTCTGAGGATCTGGCTGTGCTATTAATAGATTTGTGCCTGAGGGCTTATCATTTTACCTCTTTGAGCCTCTGTTTCCAATTTCTTTAAATGAAGATTATAGTGCCTCACGGGGTTGTTATGAAGAAATTGTGTTATAAACTTGAATTAGAAGTGACTTGTTTTTATTTATTATGACTCCTAGGTTAGGCATAGTGACAAGGAACTAAAGTAGCATAGATAACTTGAGATCTGTTTAATTTTTTAAATTTCTACTTCCTATTCCATCAAAATTTTTATAAAAAATAGTTCAAATTAATTGGTTTTAGGTTTGCTGCTTTTATTTTCCTCCTCTGCTGAAGTAGTCATAGAAGATGAAGACAAGTGCCCTCTTTCATTCTTTAACCCTAATTCTTGAGTTAATTTGAAGGTAGCTATAACTTGCAGGAATTTAATAAAATACATTTAAATGAGGCAGTTGAAGACCACCTAGTAGATAAAAACCTTATTCTATATTTAGGTGAGAAACAGATATATATGCACCCCTATTGTTTTGTGCAAGATCATTTGTGAGAAAGCATTTGCCAGGCTGAGATAATACAGTTGGTAGAAAGCTTAAGATTTCACCAATAAATTAAAAGCCTTATGAGCTATAAAATGAAGATCATTTTAGCGTAATTGACTTTTAAAAAGCCTATTGTTGCTTTTTGTTTTTATATCGCACTAACTTCTTTTAAACTACTGCCCCTAGTGGCTAATGTTCAGTAGATTTGTGCCTTGGGGCTAATCACTTGACCTCCCTGAGTTTCTGTTTCCATTTTTTTAAATAGGGATTATAATGCCTCATAGGATTGTTGTAAAGAAAGCATGTTGTAAACTTTAAAGTAATGAAATGTTGCTTGTATTTATTGTGGCTCCTAGGTTATGTATAGTGAGAAACAGATTTAACATAGATGGTAAAGATCTATTTGGTTTAATTTTTAAAATTTACACTCCATTAAAATTCTTATAGTAGTCAGAATGGTTTGATTTTAGATTTGCTTCTTTTATTTTCTGTTCTTATCCTCTGGTAACAATAATTATAGTCAGAACCATTTCACCCTCATTGAACCCTTATTTTAAAAAAATACAAAAGCATTAAGCAAAAACCAACTAGACACAGTGGCCATGTTTGACAGCGTATACTTAATTCCACATGCATAGCTCCTCCTCTTCTCTATAATCCCTGCCCCTCCCCCCAAAAAAAACACAGTGAAAAGGGGGGGGGAGGTATTTATTACCAGTTCTCTGGGGATCTAGGTTATTCATTACAATTAATCATGATTTACTTTTTTGGTGGGGCAATTGGGATTAAGTGGCTTGCCTAGGTCACAGCTAATAAGTGGCAAGTGTCTTGAGGCCAGATTTGGACTCAGGTTCTCCTGACTCCGAGGCTGGAGCTCTATCTACTGCAACACCTAGCTGCCCCTCTGTGATTTACTTTTTAAATGGAATATAGTGTCTTATTTCTTAATTTAAAAAAAAATTCTTTCTCATCATTTCTTTGTACCTTTATTTTCGTCTCACCTTTTTTGTTTGTTTGTTTAGATCCACAGAAGTAAAAACAAGTGGAAGTTTCACCTCAAAGATGGCATTATGAATCTTAATGGAAGAGATTATGTATTTTCCAAAGCCATTGGAGATGCTGAATGGTGAAGAATTGCCTTTTTTAAAAAAATAAAAAAAATTAAAAAAAAAAACCAAAAATATTCTTAAAGCTGGACTGGTTGAAAACTTAGGACATATACTTCAACCAAAATTTACTTCTGCATGTCAGAAAAGTATGGTAGAAGCAAAGCTACTGGAACAAAGATTGACCATGACACCGTAGACACTACTTCAGACTGGCAAGTCATGGAACTGTAGCACCTGGCATTGTTGGGAGCTGAATTTTTGTTAGGAACACCATAATTATCACTTCAACATACAGGTACCTACAGCCAGTAATTAGCATGTAAGGCTTTGTTGCCATCTTTCTCCCTCTAACTTGTTAAATCAGAAAATGTTTCTCGGAACAAATTGAAGGAACTCTTCCCTTTTGATAGAATGATCTGGAACTTCATGTGTGTGGTCATTATATTGATTAAATTTGTGTGGGGGCTTTTTACAAAAGGGAAAGAATTATGGTGTTGAACTAAAATTCTCTTGTATAAGGAAAAGATTTAAAATTCTATTTGATAGGTCTTAAGTAATTTTACTTGCCATTCTCCCTCAATGATATTCCTTCTATATCCCTACCCATTCCTTTTCTCAACATCTGTTTAATAGAGAAAAGAATATAATCAGTGATAATATTCATAGGATCATACACTTAGAGCTAGAAGGGACGTTAGAGGTCATCTTACCAGAACCTTATTTTATAGATGCTGGAATTTGAACCCAGGTCCTTTGCTGGATTTGGACTCACTCTTATTGTTATACCACATTGCTTCCCAATTAGATTACTTTTTGGAGACCACATCTTTATTTGACCTAAAACTTTATATGCGTACATATATATCCTCTTAAAATTAAGTTTTTAAAATCTGTTCAGTATAATTCAAAAACATTTCACAGGAATTGAGAGGAAATAATAGTGGTAAGTTTAATTTCCTTAGGGAGGGCCTGTCTCCCTTTCCTCATCCTTTTTCCCCTTTTAAAGCCAAATTGGCTCCTCAGGAATAGTTTTACTTCAAAGGGTACCATCTGATTGAAGTTGTATATACATGATGTGCAAATACATTGATTTATTCCTATAATTAGGCTGAAATTTGTCTTGGTGAACTTAATCTCCAAGCTTTTTAGATATCCAGTGCATTTATTGTAATTGAGGATGGGGACACTGATTTTATTAAACAACTTAGTTATTATAAAAAAGATTCTTGTGCTTATTGGGAAAGAATAGCAAAATTTGGTAAAAATCTAATTGTCAAAGTTAAGGTAACAAGTTTTTTTGACAAGTGACTTTTAGGTAAAACCTTTTTTGCTTAAGTGTTAATGTCCTTCTTGTTTACATGATGGCCCTACTTTTAAAACCAGGTGATGGGAAATGTAAACAACCACTCCAGTTTGTTCAGCAGGAAGGAAGGCAGTGGTATGTGGGGTTAGATTAGCAGTCACAATTCAGTGTCCCATCAGAGACTCAAAAACAGTGTAGCTGTAGCATTGTAATGTTACTGTGTCAGCTACGTAGGAGAGAATCAGTTAATATCATTAGCAAACTGAAAGGACGTTTTCTTCGTCTCTGTTCGTTTTGGATAATTAAAATTTTGTCATGGTTTTGGTTAACAAATTCCAAGTGTATTTAATCTCTTGTATATTTATTAACTGCTTTTCTTTTTCCTCTCCCATCTTAGTCTTCCTTTTACTTGCCTCTCAATATATTTGCAGCAGTAGCTTACATGAAAACCTTAAAATACATTGCAAGGAAGAATACTGTGATGAGCCATTATATGGGTTTTTTACACCACTTAGATCTCTAAAATTGTCTACTCACCAGAGAGCCTAATCAAATTACTGCCCCTCTTGTCCTTATATGTTGTAAACCTCTATAATTATAAAGTTGTTTTCCAGTCACATTAATAATAATTAAGTACTGTTTTGATGTAAAGATTTTAAGTATGATTTTTATTTTGATCTGTCTTAATTTAGGGTATAATCTAAGTCTTGTGTTTTTCTTATAAAAAAGTTTGTTTTTAATTACCACTATGCTAAAAGCACATGCAATTTTTTTTGGAGGTCATTTATATGCTGGGGTGGGGTGGGGGAACCAGATTAGTTGTACCCTAACTTTTTTTTTTAATTGTCATGTAGTAAAGCTGCCAAATAGGTTTGTTTACCCAAAAAAGAAATCTACCTGTAAAAGTTTAGCAAACAATTGAACAAATGAAACCTTTTAGCTACTTAGCAGTTTTTTTTTTTTGTTTTTTTTTTTATTACTGGAACCCACATTACAATATACTTATTCTCTTTTATGTCTTGAGTCCTCTGTGGTAGACAAATATCTTTTTTGTTTATATAACAGCATTATAAACTGGCCTGTCACTATACTGTATTTTGTGATATGAATAACTACTGCTTCCAAAGTAATTTTTGGATTATTTTGAAGCAGGTTAATAACCATTTGTATTTGCACCTGTGTCTTACATATTAATTATGACATGCTTGGCAAATGAGGGATTTTGTTTTAATTACCTGTGAAGTTTTTTTGAAAGCCAGTCAAACAAAATGACTTACCAAATTGTGCTCTTACATATTGCTACTTCAAGTGTTCCTTTTAAATCAAACTTTTCAATTTTATTTTGTAGCAATTTGCTGTAAGAATGTAGCTTGCTTACCTTTTATCGTACTTGAATTTTAATCATGGTTTTAAACATTGTAATTGAACAGACCATTTCATTAGGTTCCATAGAAATTGTCGTTGCTTTGAAGAGGACACGGAATTCCCACTTTGAGTTTTAAAATTAATATAACTTGTTTATTTGAAGTAGAAGAAATAGTTCAGTATTAATATTACAGAGACAAGAGATTTCAAAAGCGTTAAGTTTAGATTTGCACAGATGGTAACAGCACCTTTTAACTTGAAAAAATGGGGAAATATCTTTTACATTAATCATCAGCTCTAATGGACATTTGCATAGCAACTGGATAAAGTGTAGAAATTTGTGCCTTTCAGTATACAGATTCTTGGTTGGTGGTCATTTGAATAAGCCAGGCCACTTGAATTTCTGAGAGCACGTTTAATTTTTGCGGAGTTTCAAATGTATCTTTAAAAACTCTTAATGTGCAATTAATTTCTAAAATCAAATAAGTAAAATGTCTGCTATTGAGGGGAATAGACATATAAGGAACTTTATATTGGACTGTTATATTTTTAATGTTCAATTTTTGTTATTGCTAAGTAATTAAATTTCATCCTAATGTTACATCCATGTTGTCCCTTGCATTGAAGTCATAGGCCACATTAAACATAGTCCTCTAAGTAATATATCATGATTTCAAAAGTACATGGTGATTTTACAGTGTGTTTTTTGAGGAGCATAGTTCTAATATTCATTGTTCATAGAAAACAGAATGAAAACATGATGTATACGTGTTTTCCTTTGCTAGAGTGTAAAATGAAAAAACCAAGGTTTGGGCTTTTTTTTCTTTTTTTCCTTTTTTTTTTTTGGCCTTTTTTGGGAGTTGGAGGGGATGTAGATTCCCCTCTGTTGAAAGTATTTCATGAATACCCAATAGCAATAATGTCACCATAAACCACTTCCGTAGGGGAAATACTCATAATCCCAATGCAGGATAACAGACAAATAGATTCCCATAGGAGTTCCCTTTTTAAAAATTAGCAATTTCTTCCACTTGAAATAAATTCCTTTGTTTGCAGATTTCACACTGAAATTTTTTGTTATTGTTTAAAATTGTTGTGCAATGTTAATTGACCCTTTTTATTGGCATTTTAATTTTTTTGGCAGAAGCCCCTCATCACCTGCACCAATTTCAAATTAACCTGTTTCAGATTTCCAAATTCATTGGTTAAACATAAGATTCACACACACACACACACACACACACACACACAGAGTTTTGATTCTTATCCCGCTATTATGCTAGGGAAGTGATATTTAAATTTATGTTCCTTTTTACGTAAGGTTGTTTTCATTTACTTTTCAGTCAATTACTGTGGCTTTTAAAAAATTATTTTGGCTTATGCCTATTATGAAGAACAAAAGGAACTTTTTATGGGAGGAACTATTTTGGGTTATTTACACCTGTATCAAGGTACCCATGGACTACAATATTTTTTTGGTGGGGGGAGGGGCTAATACCCTTTTTTTTTGCTGTTCTGAGCTACAATTGTCAACTGCTGTTGTACATACTATTATGTGTACGGGGTAAATATATTTATTATGTTTGTAAAAGTCATTCTGTACAATTACAGATCAAGGTTGCTCTTCTGTGATATACAGGATATTATGTTTCAAAGGCCATGCTTGGAATACAATTAGAGAACTTAGTATTTTGATGTACTAAGACCTATTTTAAGTTTAATATTTTGCCTTTGCAAAAACTTTAATTAAAGATGTTATTTAAAAAAACTAGTTTTTTTATTTTACTTGTTTAATAATAAATTTTATTTTGACACAAAGGTTACTACATGAAGTTACATCCTTTGGTAATTAGGCAAATACTTCAAATATGGTAATCGCAGTGAACCAATCCATGATGGGAAAATATAAAACCTGATGTAATTAGTAAGAGAGAACATCAACCTGAATAGGTAAGAAGTCCAAATTTATAAACATTGAATAATTAAGTGTCTTCAAGTACATATTGAGCTTTAAAAATGGAACCATATTTAATGAATAGGGCATAGAATCAAGATGTAGAACTGAAAGAGGCACCTAGGAAGGAATCTAGTGCATTCCTCTTTTTTTATAGATGGATAAGTTGAGGTCCGAAGAGGGAAAATGACCTTGCCCAATGTTTCACAGACATAGACATTGGCAGAACTGGGATTTGAAACAAGGTAGGGATTTTAAAAAAAAATGTTGATATCTTTTTATCCCTATATTTCACACTGTATCCTTTCCTTACTCCCTTCCAATAAGCCATTCCTTAAATTAAAAAAAAGGAAGGAAAAAATGTTCTTCAGACCCAACCAGTCTATCAAATAAGAATGGTGTTATGATACGTGCTGTTCTGCCACAATGTACCCCAGTTTCTGCAAAGGAGCATGGGGGTTGGGGGAGTGAGAGGCTTCTGGGAGAGAAGTATGAGAGCATCTTCTCATATCTCTGGTTATTTTGCAGCATTCAATTTCAATTTTGTTCTTTTCATTTACATTGCTGTAGTCACTGAGCATTTTATTGTCCTTTCTCTTCCTTACTCCAAATGTTGTATTGGAATGCATTGTACCATTTTAAAGTACATTTTTTTTTTTTTGGCTAGGCAATGGGGTTAAGTGACTTGCCCAGGGTCACACAGTAAGTGTTGTATGCCTGAGACCAGATTTGAACTCAGGTCCTCCTGACTGCAGGGCCAGTACTCTATCCACTGTGCCACCTAGCTGCCCCCTTGAAGTGCTTAAGCATTTGTATTTAAGAGAAAATTTGTTTTCTTAAAACTTTACTCTTTTAAGTTTGTTTATCCAGTCTTTTATAGGTAACATCATCAATTCCAACTTGGTCTAAATACATTTTTATTGTATGACATTATGTTTATGTTAAATGACAATTTTTTTGATCATTTTATAAATATATTAAATACAGATCAAAAACTGGGGTTTTTACCATGAAAGTTTTTGTTACTTGGACCAGTATTATTACTTTCTCCTATCCTGGTATTCAGCCAAGTTTTGTCTTTCTTTAACATCCTCAGATATTGGTCCAAAATTCTGGATAATTCATTTCTCCAAATAGTTATAATCACATAATACTTAAACACTTCTCCTTTCCCTACCCTGCAAAAAATAACTGTTTTGCACAGAAAAACTGTTTAAAAAGCTAATGAAATCACTTACATTAACTGTCTGTGGGTTAGCCATGCCTCTTGCTTTTATAATAAAAATTGTTGGGCATGGTAAATCACTGGCATAGGTAAATTAGTCTCAGAAGTAATGTAGTAAGATTGAGGAGCAAGAAAAGCTTTTTGCAGAAAGTGGGTCTTTACCTGAGACTTTGAGGAAGGTGGAAGGTGGAGATGAGGGGAGATTTCCAAGCACTCAGGAGAGTCATTGAAAATTCCTGGGGTTAGGAGTGTTGTTCAAGGAATAGCAAGGAGGTAAGTGTCTTTGGATCACAGTACATGAAAGAGTAAAGTGTAAGAAGACTGGAAAGGAAGGGTCAGGTAATAAAGGGCTTTAAAAAGTGAACCAGATTTTATATTTGATCCTGGAGGTAACAGCAAATCACTGTAATTTAGTTAAGGTGGGGGGGAGGAACGTGATCAGATAGATGACTTTAGGAAGATCAATATAATAATTAAGTGAAAGATTAACTGGATTGAGGAGACAGGGAGACCAACTAGCAGACTAATGCAGTAGTTAAGACTTGAGGAAATGGGGGCCTCCTCTTAAGGTGGTGGCAGTGTTAGAGGAGGGAGTGAGATGTATATGAGATGTTCTGAAAGTTGAAACTATAGGACTTGGGAAGTAATTGCATACGGGGAAGGGGTGAGAGGGAAGAGTTGAGGATGATGCCTAAGTTGCAAGGCTGAGTAATGAAAGCTGGGGGTATCTTTGAAACTAATAGGATAGTTAGGAAGATGGGGGAATGTTTGGAGCGGGAGAGGTATTGA